ATATAAATTAATATAAAAAATTCCTATTTTAGGTTTCTAAACATATGTTTAGAACACCTCATATCCTCCTTATGTCCGTCTGTACATCTGTCCGTTAATTACCAATRCATAGTTATAATTGTTGATTTTAATAGGCGATAGGCATTTATATATTGTCTGTAGTTACTCTACATAAATTGTATATAGAATTATAATTTATTGTGTTATATTAAAATACGTTTGGAAACCGGGAGTTTAGTACGCTCACAGTGAGCTTTTCTAACTTTTTCTATGCAATTATATTATTATAGCCATTTATAGGAAACATGAACTAATGCCAGGGATTGTTTTATAACCGTGATGGGCCCACTAACATACGGACTCTTCTCCCCTACCACATCAGTCCGGGCCTAGTAGTACCTCATGTAATTGTTAAAGAAAATTTTAACGTAATTCGTACTAAATAAATATTACGATAAATTAATAAAATTGTAATTCTATAGTCTATATGCAACTATACAACAATAGTTTTGAAATATTATCAATTAATTATAAATATAAAAACAATATTAAAAAAATGTTTTTCACACATATTTTATTATAGTATAGGTAGACAAAATAAATAAATCATTGTATTACGAATCAGTTATAATAAGTCACAGTATACCTATTAGTATAATATTATACTCCGGGTGGCAGTATTGTGCTAAACATTTCTCACGCCTTCCTGGTTTTTTGAACGGAAAAAAAAAGCATAATATTATACAATATTATAATTTATAAAGCCTATTACATGAATTTTTTATAAAATAATTTATAGTTACATATTAATGACGCTGCCGAGAAATGTATAAATATAATGTAATAGTTAATAACTCTATATTTTGAATTGACTAATAAATACGCGTTACTTTCGTATTACTCGTATTTCAGAAAAATTCGTCGTTACTACTTTTTTTGTGCTCATATAAACATAATAAATAGGTAATTTAAACTTTCGACCTTCAAACGCTTCCACTATATAACTTATAAGTTTCTCCTCCGATTACGGTCTATTGCATTATCCTATTTAAAATTGTCAATATTTTTTAGGCATCTTTAGTCACCCTATCCAACTACCACTGGCAAAATATTTCCCTTAATTGATTTCTTGCAGTTTTGTTTCTGGTAAGGTTACACCTTAATTCGGACATGTTAGTACCCAATGATGGAATAGTTAAAAATAATTTTAACGTAATTTGTTTTAAATATTACGTAATTTATCAAAATTGTAAATCTATAAGCAAGCATGCAATAATGATTTTCAAATATTATCAGTTTTTAACAGCAAGTATTATAGCCACCCTATAAGTATAATTTATTTTACATAGAAATATTTTATATTTTTCAGTTGGAGATATTCGTCCTTCAATTGCAAAAGTATGCAATCGATTTTTCGGCTTGTGGAATTGTGAATTTACATCGATCCACCATTACAACGGTAAAATAATAAAATTTCGAGCCATATTTAGGTTTATTTTATAAATTATTTATAATTGTCTACATTTCATAATATATTTTCATATAATATGATTTATATGGTCATCCAATTTCTAGATTTTGATCTCCTCTCACCACAATAATATTCAGGTCAAAAATGCCACTGATTGTATACATCAGTGGGATATTTTTGATTATTTAATTTATTTGACTATATAAACTATATAACTATATAGATTTAAACCATATTATTTGGATAATACTATTGATACTCAATTTTTTAAATTAAAATAATTTCATTTCTCAAGGTTAAAGATACTGTTGAATATCTTTTTAATTTTTCTCAAATTATTTTAATAGTTATATTGAGTACCTATTTAAATATTAAGATGTATCATTAATCATCACCAATACAAAATGTATACTTTTATTCCACCTGAACCGTATTTTATGTATTATTACTAAGACCTGCAGTGGCATATATACTCTGGGAGAGGATAGCGTTTGGCCGTCTGGGTAGTAAAACCCTATGCCCCCACCCCTTTGTTATTATTTCACTATACGTATAGTCGTATAGACTATAGATATATTAAAATCAATTAAATTTAAATATTATTTTGATACATTTACATAAAATTTTTTTTAAATATATAATCCCTCTCCCTCCTATTAAATATTGAAATTGTCTGTATACGCCACTGAATAAGAATATATTTAAATGTAATAATTTAAATTTCAGATTATCGGAACCGCGTTTACGTATTTGGTGATCTTAATTCAATTCCAAAACTCCGACTAGAAAAATCAATAGCAATATACCTATAGGTAACACATTGTATGATGTCAATTCACCATGATCGGATTTAAGCCTAGGTTTACCTATTATAATAATGATAATAGTTAGGTATATAAAATATATTACCATTCAATATGTACCCAGTGGCGTAGTTACGGTGTGGGGGTGTAAGTGGTTTCCACCCCCCCCCCAACCACCCAAAAAAAACTTTTTATATTGGTATTGTGTCTTCTATGATACTGATTATTTTTAAAGTAATCTTTTTTTTGCATTTTTCGATGATGGATAATTAATACCAATTTGAAACAAAATAAAAATGACGTTTAGTTTAACTTATAACTTGTAATTTGTGTCATAAATACATTTTAAACCCCCCACCCCCAGAAAAAAATCGTATCTACGCCGCTGTATGTACCTACCTTTGTATAAGTAAATATAAAATAGCGTATTAAATTGTGTTTGCCGTATAGATTGCATAGTGTCGCGTTCATTTCATACACCATAAATAGATATATGTATAAAAACAATTCATTTACGTATATACAATATACTTGCTAATGGTATAGTAATATTACACTATTATCGTGTCACTTGTATACTTATAAATTATAATAAATTGTTATGTTTCACGCATATTTTATTGTAACAGGTAGAAAATAAAATAATTCATCGTAATATGAGTTAGTAATAWTATGCCTGGCAGTATAATATAACCTATATGAATCGTATACTATGATTTTTTTTATAGAGAAACAAATAAACGTTGCTGAAATATATAAATATACCTAATATAATAGGGGAGACTGGTTTAATATGACATATCATTTTTTTAAATCGGTGTACAAAAAAAAAATATTATTAGTTAACATCTGAAAACTTACCAGTATATTTGTACAAGTACTATACACACATTACTGCAGTCAAATACTAAATTTATAAAATTAAAAAAAAAAATTCTCTTTTAAAAAAAAATGTGAACTATGTCATTTTACCCTTATTCTCAGATAAAATGACATACAATGTTTGTATAGGTTACCATAATATATTTTGACTATTTTGTTATAGAATTACATTATATAATTTCAACTTTGTAATATTTTAATACATTTTTTTAGTATCATAACTCAACATACTAAATATAACAACACTTACCTATCTAAATCTATAACTTAAATTAACTAATAGAATATTTTATTATTAACTTTTGTATCAATTAAGTAAAATACGTCAAGTTGCTACTTTTTTGTTCGTGTTATACATATGTTTAATACTGAGGTCGTAATTCGAACACTTCCACTAAGTTTCTTCATTTATTTCGGTCTATTGCTTTATCCATTATATCCATTAAGTCTTCGATTTTTCTGAAGCACATTCTGTCATTCATTCTAATTTTATTTTAATTTAAAATATTCTAATTTTCATTCTAATTCATTCTAACTGGTAAGGTCTTCTTCCCCTTGATCACTGTTTTGTTTTGTTTCTGCAGGTTAGGACCATATTTTCGTATAAGATTTCCTTCAATAGTTACTACCTAATATACTTACATAATATTTATCGTTGAAATATTTACGTAAATCTAATAAAACGTTAGATGTTTCACGCATCCAAAGCGTTAACAGCCCTGTGGCGGTTGACCGGGTTGGGAACGTTTTCGTTGGCCGGTTGTCCGCCCCCGCCGTCGTCCCGTCTCTCGGTCGTGTACGCAGTGGCCGTTTATTCGGCGTACGCGTACCTATGCTCGGTACTGACGTCCGAACGGCTGAGTGCGTACAGGCAGCACGAGAGCGGTACGTTTCAGATCCACGTGATCAGGGACACGAACATGGTTCTGCTGTTCGCCGCGTCCACAGCGGTATACTGGTGCACAGCCGCATACCGCCGGCAACACGTCCGCGTGTACTCAGAACACGCGGCCGTGGTGTACCAGCTGTTCGGCTCCACAACTCCGGCCAGCCGCGTGGTGGACGCATGGTGTTGGGTGCTGTACGCGCTGCTGGCCGCCGCCCTATCGCTGGACTTGCGCCGGTACACGGGCCGTAGGCCCTGGACGTTTGGGACCGTCTACGTTTGGGGCCATTACGCGCTGCTCACCGGCAACATGCAGTTCGCCATCACTGTTTTTGGACTGTGGCAGTGTTACCGCGAGCTCAACTGTCGGATGCGGGCCGGAAGTGCAGGCCACCAGCACGATTTCGACTYGCGCGACTATGGATCCGTCGTCGTGGACACCGCCGAAATGCCAGCTTTGGAGGTGCCGCCGCAGAACATGATGTTCATCAGTGGTGAGAACCCGACCGCATGACATCAGAATAAGAATTCAGTGATGTATTGTTAAAAAAATTCTTGGGTACATACCCGTTTTGCTATAGGTGACAATAGTAAATACTAAATACCTACTCATGTCCTAAAGTGTGAAAACAAAGTTAAATCGCTTGCAGGGTTGGGCTAGGCCACTGGGACACCAGGATTTTCCCGGTAGGCCGCCATGAAAATGAGCCTATGGTGGCTGCAGTAGGCTATTCGGAGCCGGTAATAAGCAGTGCGGGGGCCTTATATAATATATGTTAAATGGTAATAAAACTAATAATATAATGTTATTAATAATATTTAACTGTTGTGATAACCTTGCCTACCTATAATATGGTATGTAACGTTAAAATATAAAAGACTGAGGACGAGGATATTATTATTATTACTATTTATATTATATTTATTTTAATGTAAACAAATATAATTTGTTAATTTTCTTTATCTCTAAAAGGTATGATAATATTATATTATATTAMGACGCCTTGCACTAGTGTGTATTTATGCTATTTATAGCAATTATCAATTAAATGTTATGTTTTTTTTTTCATGAACTTTTCGTGTCAGAGTCTGTTGAAATATGGTAGCGTTGGTTATAAATTAAATTTATTTTAATAGTGCCGTACCAACAAAATCCCCTAACCCCCACCCCTATATACGCCACTGAGTGAGCAAAAAATTATTCAGTTCTAACACCTCCATAGCATAGGATGTGAGTTGAGAGCAGGGGCCTGTTAAAAAATTATTTTCCGGGCCGTTTGTTTGAGCTAGTCCAACCCTGATCGCTTGAGCGCTTGACTCAAAATATATATATCTTATACATAGATTAATAATCACAATGCATCTAACGTGATATATGGAATTTGAAAAAACCAAATTTGTATATCGTCAACTCTATAATATGATAAATAAATAATTCATAGATATCTCTGTTGTCAATATTAACTAATGCAAAAATTACAATTTTTTTCTATGTATTTTTATTGGATGTACCCTACTCAGTATTGGAAAAAGTAAACTTGCTTACAATGCTGAAATATTGGTCAGATGTGCATTGGTCAATCACACAAATCGTATCCAGGGTCAACAACTTATTTAAATTCCGATTATTCGTCTTTTTCATTTGTGGATTACTACATTTGATGTTAACACCATATATGTTGTCGTTGACTATACTCAACGAGGATATTGATATATTGCGTTACTTATTAGAATGCACTTTGTGGTTCATTATTCATATTCTTCGAGTGGTTTTGATGATTTACCCGTGTGCACTACTAGGAGAAGAGGTAAATACATTAATATTAAAATATTAACCATTTTAATGTTAATAATTTTTTGACATTAGTCAATAGTAACCAATTATTGTTTTTTTTATGAAGGCTGCTAAAACACAAATATTGCTTGGAAGCTATCTCAATACTAAAATTGATTTATTTGATATAAAAAAAGTAAGAATTATGCGAAAATTGTGTAGATTAAATATTTATATTATTTGATATTATAGCTTAAAAATCGTTAAGATGATTGAAGAAAATAATATAATCTACAAGTATAAATAAATTCTATTAAAGATAATCAGTTTTATAATATGCAATATTACTTACAAATTATATAMATGTGTATTGTAATGTAATAGTTTTAAATATGTATATTGTGTATAAAATATATACAAATTAAAATATTAATTATTATAACCTTTAAAATAGTTATTTTATGTATTGCGAAATAATTGACTAGTTTATACCTACTAATGTTATAATCTATTAAAATAAACGAAAAATGACAGTATACAATATTACCTAGCCATTTTTCAAGTTCTATTCTAATACAGTGAAAACTCTTTATAACGAAACTCGTCACAACGAAAAACTCATATTAAGTTAACTTATAATGGTTGGTTTGATTTAAAACCTATTAATTACTCTCTATTACGAAAACTCTCAATAACGAAAGAAATCACATGGTSCCTTCAGATTCGTTATAGAGAGTTTTCACTGTATATTAATCTTTTTTTTGATCAGAACTATTTCAGTTTTGGGTGTCACCGCCACTCATCAGTTACTAGTGATAATATTCCGGAGTTGAAAAATAGTTTTGT